GCCCATCTTCAGCCGCGACCTGGGCGAGGCGCGGCGGCGCGTGCGGGAGCTGTACCGGGCCTGGTACCGCGAGGTGCCCAACGCCGGTGAGGGGCAGCCAGGGAGCGAGCGGCGCGAGGGCGCAGCGCGCGGGAAGGCGCGCGAGCTCAAGGTCGTAACAGCCGCCCCGCCGCCGTTGGCTTCTTGAAGGGCCGGTGCAGGAGGCCGGTACCGCTTCCCCGGGGCGCGTGGAGGGGCCCTTCTTGTCTCAAACAACGGGACCGCCAGTGAGCCGTTTGTCGTGCTCTGGCTGCCCCACTTTCAGCTCATGTGCAGGGTGAGCGGGGCCCGACCTTCATGCGCTTGTTTACTGGGTGAAAAAATCTTTTTTTTCTTTTTTTTTTCTTCCCTAACTAACTAGAGGATGAGCCCCCATTTAATTTTCCCTACTAGGGGTGCGTGGTAGTGCTGTCTGCCTTCTTAAAACCACCCTGTTTTCGTGCCGAGACTGTGTTGTGTAATTGTTGTACACTAGCAATGTTTAACTAAGCTGGCAAGCCCTGCAGCAACAAATGACTAGGATCCTGCAGCGCTGGAACTGAACACTTCCAAAAAAACATTTTTGTAGCAAGGTAGGTGACCTGTGCTGGTGTTCTCTGCTTTTCCTAGTGCATCTGTATCAGCTGGACATCACGGTGAAGCAGGGGCGGAACAAGGTGCGGGAGATGTTCATGAAGAATGCCCATGTTACGGACCCTCGGGTGGTTGACATGCTGGTTATTAAGGTACAGATCAGTGATTCTTGTCTTGTCAAAGCTGCGGCATGTGAAAGTGGGCCATTGGTGGTGAGTGTGATGGAGAATAGGGGCTTTTTTTACTGATGATTTTTATCTCAGCTTGATCTATGGAGGAGCTTGGCCAACCTGGTCTGCAAAAGATTTATCTCTAGTGACACAAGTTTGTTGATAAGGAAGAAAGCTGCTTTGACCATGAGAGAGGCATAGGGTCCACTGTCATATGCCAGAGTGCCTAGAATATTGATTTCTGTCATTTATTGTAGCCGCTCTTCTGTTTTGCACAGGCTTAAAAAAAGTGTATGGCAGGCAAAATGGTGATCTAAACATGACAGGACTTGCTTTTAGAACACAGCAGCAGTTGAAGGAGATGGGGATAGGATGCTGCCAGCTGGTTCCCCATCAGAAATGACCCTTGAGCTCCCTTCTGCACTTCCTTAGACCGTGGCACTTCTCCTCACCATTTCTGAAATGTACATTAGGAAGGCAGTGCTTGATGGGAGCCTGCCTTGGGATTTACATAGGTGCCAACACCCTAACCCGGTAGGATACCTGGGTATGTCTTAAGCCTGAAATTTGTGTGGGCCACTTGTCTCAGCAGTAGTAATTCAACTTTGCAGTTCTCATAGATTATTTAAAAATAAATAAGCCAAAGTATTCAGATGACTTTTACAGTGGTGTTCAGTTAGTTCTAATTAAGAATTAATCTAAGGTGTTCATTGTGCACAGGGAAAAATGGAACTTGAAGAAACTATTAAAGTATGGAAGCAGAGGACTCACGTCATGAGGTACTTCCATGAAACGGAAACTCCACAACCTAAAGACTTTCTCTCCAAATTCTATGCAGGCCACGATCCTTGAGACAGACTGAGTGTGTCTTGCTGCCTTGCATTAAAATAAACATCTATATATTAGAAAGAAAATCTGTTTC